CAATGCCTACCAACTGGTTAGGGCATTGGAGAAGGAAAGGAATGTCAGACTTTCAATTCGAATCTGTAGAGATGAGGCCATGATTATTGTCCCCAAAGACAAAGCCACCCTGAACTTCCTGCAAGAAATCAAGGTGCTAAAAGACGGGAGAAAAGTGTGTATCTCACCACTGACCTCCCAAGAGAAAAAGACCAAGATGGTGCTACTTGGTTTCCCACTAGGGTTCAACGTGGAGGTGATCACGTCCCTCCCACAAGTGGTGGAGGCTTCCCGCATGACCAAAGGGAAGTCTCCAACCAGGCAAGTCCTGGTTATCCTCCAGGGAGCTCCAATCACCACCCTTGATCTGGGTAACTGGGGCTCCTACAAGCACAGGACATATGTGCCAGAGCCCTTGAGGTGCTTCACGTGCCAGAAATTTGGGCATCACCAGGCCAACTGCAAGGCCAAAGCCAAATGTGGTGTATGCAGCGAGGCACACGAAACAGAAGTGTGTATCAAGGCACACAAAGATGGCTAGAAGGACACAACAGCCAAGTGTCCAAACTGTACCAAGGAACATCATGCCTAGAGCCTGGCTTGCTCTGTCAGGAAACAGGCAGTCATTAAAAAGCAGGAGCAAGCCAAAAAGCGTCCTGACTTTGTCCCTGCGCCTCCAGGCACCTACGTCTGGGGTCAAAATAAAAGAGAAAAGACTCCCCGACCTCCTAAGAGGAAGGAGTCGCCCCCACAGCCAAAACTGGATACCTCTAACAAAGAGGAATTCCCCAAGCTTGCTAGTGGCAAAACCACAAAAAAGAACCAAAGGGTAAAAGGTTCAAAGACCACAGCAAAGGATAATCTTTTCTTTGACGAGAAAGATATGACTCTCCTGTTGAGTGCTGTAGTTTCTGCAAGAGCAAGAGCCTTGGGGAGGACCAGTGAGGAAGTGGAGAAAGCAGTGCAGGTCGCCATGACGGCTATGACCCAAACTGTGGCAGCTCTGAAGGGAAGGAAGCTAGAAGCCTCCAAACCGAAAACGAGCAGCACTCCCCTCCCTAAATCCTCGGATGGCAGGCTAGCTTCGGGAGAAGCATCACGTGAAACCCCAGCTAGTCTATCAGGACAGGCTGAGACTGTGCAGCAGAAGCCCCCAGTGCAGGCCGAGTCTGTGCAGCCAAAGTCTGGTCCCTTGACCCGAGGTGGCACTTCCAACCAAGGCTCTACACCCCTCGGTAGACCCTTAACCGGAGTGTCTCAATTAGAGGAAGTTGTACAATCCTCAATCAACGAGGATCTATATTTATCTGATGCCACCAGCACTGGGGCATCTGAAGCTGAAGCAAGTGACTCTGAGTAACCATCATGGCTCACAATCTAAGCATTCTGCAGTGGAATATCTGTAGCTATAAAAGCAAGAACTCCTTTCTCCAGTCAATAGTGCGAGCAAGGAGCATTGACGTCGCCATGCTCCAGGAGACACTAACTATGGGATCCGTGTGCTTCTCAGGATATCATGCCTCCACCACTCTAAACCTGGATGGTGCTAGAGGCCTGATGACCCTGGTAAAAGAAGCTATCCCTTGCTCCTTAATAGCCAACCCGCCGCACTGTGGAGATGGTGTTGAATCTCTTGCTGTTGAGATTCAGCTACCTGGGGGCCCTATAGAAATATATAATATTTATAGCAAACCACTGTGTGAGAGCTTAGATCTAAACCAGGTCTGTGCTACTGCAGCACAAGACCGAGTGATCATAGGGGGAGACTTCAATGCACACATAGCCATGCCGAATCCCCGCAAAAGGCCGAACGCGGCAGGCATTCACATAGCAGAAGTGCTTGAGACGTTCCCTGAGATCGCTATTCTCAACACCAAAGAACCAACGCATGTGAAGGGAGGGGTCCTAGACCTCACCTTTACCACTGCAACAATGGTGGAGAGGGTGGTGTGTCGATGATACGGTTACTAGTGATCGCTACGGCATAGTCACCACACTAATGGATGCAGGTCCAACCCAAAGACCACATCACATTCCTAAATGGAAAACAGACAAGGCCAACTGGTTTGCCTTCCAGGAAGGCTTGGCTTGATGTCTGAAAGACAATGAACCCAACAATAATGAAAATGTGGATGTGCTAGAGGCAAGGCTAATCCAGCCCGTAAACCAGGCAGCCTCACAAACCATCCCAAAACTCACCCATGGTCCAGAACTCACAAAGAAGACTGGTCCTATAATGACGAGATCAAAGAGGTCAACCACAGGGTTAACATGTGCAGAAAAAACTTCCGACGCCAAAGATGATCTCCCGACAATCTGGCCCTGTTGAGGGAAGCTGTCGTGGATGCCAAGGAAACTGCCAACAGAGTAAGGCAGGAAAAATGGCTGGAATGGTGCCAAACTTTTGGGCACCAGACCAGCCTTACAGTTATGGAAACGGGTCAGGCAAGCGACAAGCCGCCAAGCCCCGAAATGCACTCATCATGCCCCACAATCAGAGGCTAACAGACTGGTGCTTGAGTTCTCAGCCAGAACCAGCACCAACAATCTGCCTCCAATGATAAGAGAAAAACAACAAAACTTAAATCCAGAAAGACTTACTCTCATAAGAGACAAGGCACTCGAAGCTGATGAAACGGATGCCTTGTTCTCTCTTAGGGAACTAAGAAAATCATACAAATCCAGTTCTGGGTCAGCACCGGGATCTGATGGGATCTCCCACCCCATCATTTCGCATTTAGGCCTTGCAGGAGAACTTGCATTATTGCAGGTTATCAACAAATCCTGGCAAACCGCCACGGTGCCCAGAGCTGGAAACAAGCCACAATAGTTCCATCCCCAAAACCAAAAGGAGCCTGGTCAAGTACGCGCGGTTCCCATCTCTTCTTCTCAGCTGCTGCGGCTANAATGTCTGTTGGTTTCAGTATTCCAAACCACTTCCTCTCCCGGACATTACCAACGCATAGCAAGAGCCAAAACGGAAACATGTACTCTAGTTTCATAACAAATGAAGGAAAATAGCCAATAAAATGCAACGTCTCTTTTATATGCAGATGCGTGGGCGCTAGGGCGGGTCCAGAAAACTTTCTGGTGGGGGCCACAGGGGGTAACAACAATAAATCTGGGGGGGGGGGGCACATTACATATACAGAGGGCCATTACGAGGAGTCAATGACCATTGGGGGGGGCACACGGGGTGGCCAATCAGATTTCAGGGGAGCAGGTGACCGCCTGTGACACCATGGAAGCCCCGCCTCTGCGTGGGCGCCTTGAAGGAAACATGTTTTATAGAAAGCTGTTGCAAGTCAGTGTCGAAATAGTGTTAATATCCTCGATTAGTTCACAGCATGACTAACCACCGAAAACCATATAAAGGCCTTATCTTAATCTTCTACCTGGCATCGTAAAAACGCCAGAATATATGAATCACGTTAATCTAGTTCATTATACCATTTTCCAAAGGATTAGAAATGACTTATAGTAAAAAAAAAAAAATCTACCTTCGTTGACGAAACTCGCAATAAATAAATAAATAAATAAAAGAAAGAAGAAAAAAAACATTGACTCCTTTATACCACATACAGCGTTACTTTTTCACGGGGAAAGCTAGATCAGTAGCAACTCGAGGTGTCATAGCCTCTGTTTTGTAGATTGTTCAGTGAAAATATAACAATCAAAATCATTATTTTCCATCCTTTTTGAAAACTGAAAAGACCAAAATGATCGACCATATTCACAAAGCATCCGTAACTTTTATGACGTCATCAAAATAAGCCCCATTTGTTTTGTTTTTCTCCAAAAAATAGAATCAGGCGCCATGACACCTCCAAGAGTTGCTATTGACCTAACCTTCCCCGTTACGTTACTTCACAGTCCATTGTACAGTACAATCAATGGCCAAAACTTTTGTCCATTTTTTAAATTTTTTACTCCGTTTCATACCACACTTTTCGTAAAGGATAAGATAGATTCGAGACTTCATTCATTAAAAGACTTTTTTGTTCGTCACTGTCCCGCGTCAAAATTTTCCCGACTGTTTCTCATGCAGCCAAATAGGGTCATGTTTGTTTCCTCTTCCGGTGAAACCTATGACGTGTTTTAACTTGTTATTATTATTCATTTGTATTCTTAAGATGTGTAGGTATTATTATCGTATCCTTATCATGAAGAAAAATTTGAAAGGATAATAGAAATAACCGTGATGATAATGTTAATGACAATAACTAAGCCAATGGTAATAATAATATTTATAATGATAGTAATAACAATAATAATATTGATAAAACGATAATAATAATACTATTAGTAATAGAAATAAAAAATGATGATGATCGTAACGATATTGATAGTAATAATAATGATGATAATAACAATAATAATCATCATCACTATCAAAACATTCGCACAATTTGTAATCCGGTAAATCCCTTGGCAAAGCACATCGAACTTATCAAGTCCGAAAGATACGTACGTAATAATCCCATGATATTAAATAATAAAAAACAAAAAAACACGTTGAAATAAAGAGATAAGATATACTCCACAGGAAGTAAAAGTTTCCGGTCTTCTGCGTACGACTCACTAAGCAGAAATACTTTGTTCATATATGATATTACCCTTTCTTTACCTAGAGGGAGAGGAAGTGGCCGCTTTGTGTATATGGTCACGTGGATGGACAAAAGATGTCTGGGAATATTGCTGTCTTATTGGGATTGAACATTTATCTTATCAGTCTCTAGTTTTACCATCATCTATATATTTCCGTATGACTCAGGTTTTGAGATTAGCTACATGTTTCTGCAACAAGCAGTACATGCACGCATGAATAGGCACACACACAGACAGACAGACAGACAGACAGACAGACACAGACACACACACACACACACACACACACACACACACACACACACACACACACACACACACACACACACACACACACACACACACACACACACACACAGAGTCCTTATCAGCAAAGCAAAAAGCACAGGCTTAACACACTAATAACAACACAAAAAGCCACGTGTGTGTATATCAACGGTTGTAATATTATTGTCAACACATTCAATACCCAAGACTTGTGAACAATTGATCGGTTAATGCAATTTGTTTGTGATACTTCTCTGCTTCTAACATCAAGGTAAGTCTGGCAAGTTTCAATTTATCATATATGTGTTATTGCTAACATCTTGAAGCATGCTGTTGTTCTTATTGTTTCGAGCATTTAAACATTTTTTCCTTATTTTTCATTATCAAGAAGTTATAAGGCAGTACATGTGCATTCTTAAATTTTTGGTGATACTGTTCTATTCTTCAAAAAACCAGTGCTTTCCAGAATGAGCAAGTTTTTTTTTGTTTTTTTTTATTTAAGCATACATATTGTCAGTTTCTAGGCTCTTCTGTTGAACATATTAGATATATATTTCATCATTTATTACCTTGTCCACTTCAATTATCTATTTAGTTATTTTGTTTATTTTACAATACTTGCATGTCCTTTTCTTACTGTTTTACTTGTCACTGCATATATACTATATTACAATATTTGTAGCTTTATCATCTTATCCATTTGAATTTTCTGATATTTATTATTCTAAATTAGTATCATCTTTATCAGGATTTTTATATTTTGCATGTGGCTCTCAAACAAGACCCTAGGTAACACGAGCAGAGAATGGTGCAAAGTACACATGTATGTTCACCCTTTACTTTATCTCGATTTTCCTCCCTCAGATGAAGCCCAGTGTGCAGGTGGCAGTGGTGTTGGTGGTGGTGGGGGTAGGGGTGGCCAGTGCCGCACCTTTTCCATTTTCAGTCGTGGACTCTCCTCAGACAAGACTTTTCCAGTCCCTTTCTCCAACTGGTACGGCAACATGCATGTGGCATTGGAATATCTTTTTTTTTCTTTCTTTTTTTCTTTAATCAGAAAGAAAAAACTTCTTTTCCTGAAGCTTAATAATCAGGTATAAGTTATTAGATATTCAGTATTAGGCTTGCCTTAGTTTACAACTCCCCTGTACATTCAGTATCAAGTGTATATATTCTATACATGATACACGACACCATGCCACAAGCCTTTGTTCTTCATTTGGTTCTATTATTGATACTAATTTCTATTCTTCTTGACAGAGCGGACTGCAGTGCTTCATATGGCACTTACTGGCCAAGTTGCTAATAAATTGATGATACCTGGTCAAGCATCTCAAGGTCGCTTGGTTAGTGATAGTTGTTTAAAGTCTATTTCAGCTTCTTTCCTTACTAGTATATACAAGAAATTACCTACCTGTTTCTTCAAAAAAAACATTTTGTCAGATGTCATTTTGTGTATTATTAGGTTGACATAACTAGTCTGAACTCACAAGTTTTCACATGAATTCTCCTCTTCCCTGAAAGCTTTAGAGGTACTGTTATAACTCCCTCTGAGTAATCATGCATTGAATAATATTGCCACACTGTCTCCCATAATACACAATTCTCTTTTCATAATTATTCATATTCTCTTCTCAGGCTGAACCCCAGGTTTTGATACTGGCACTCCAATTACGCTACTGGATAAGGACTCACTGGCAACTAACACCTGAACAGATACATGAGATTGAGGAAACAGGCAAATTATGTAATAATGAAGGAGTGTGCATTGACTTCGGTGGCGACTGGGGAAGTAACTGCTGTCCATTCGGCTAAGATTCTGATTCTGGGATATTACAAGGGAAAATGCCTGAGCAACTTCAATGGATAACAGTTGCAGCCTTCCACAATGTTAAATGAAAGACAGATCACACATGATTTTAAAATAAATTTCCAAACAATGACTAATTTCAGTTCACCAAATTTACCTACTGCCTCCCATATTACAAGCCTATATCAAAAAACTATCATCATGTCACCTATTATTTCACTTTAAAATCATTTCTTGCAACTGGGTATCAAACATCTCACGAAGAGCAAAGATAAAATGCAATAATACATAGCCAGCCACTACAGTTTACAGTATATAATAAAAATAAAGGGGTTATGAAAATTTCTCTCCAAATTAGATAATTATGTGATCTTATATTTTATATAAAAAAAATTAATGACAATTTATCAATTTGATCAATTAATACTTTTGTAGATCCATAAGACAACTTTCATAAAAGCATCGAAGGGACCCACTAAGAATAAAGATAATCAAATTTCAATTCATCTTCTACTGTCATATAGGGTACACTGCATTTCAGCGAGCTTATATTTTCATATGGTACAAAATATTTTCAAATCTGAAATTAATATTCTTAGGTCAATTTGAAGAAATAGATACAAATAAAACAAAAAGAAATTTCATGAATCTTATTTACATTCAGAGCGGTTGTCCATATACAAATCACTTCAGCACAATGATTGTTCAACATTATATATACTAAAGAATACATTCACATTTAACTTGAATCTCATAGCCTTTTACATAGTCGCTTCCTCTTGTTCCGGGAACCTCGTGTGTCGATTCTTCCGTGCAAGGGCATCTAACTCCTCAGCCTCTTCTGGGAAGATTGGTTCTGCCACATGCTCCCAGTGGAATGCCTTCCAAGGTATACGTTCACGAGGGTTGACTGAGTAGTGGTTAATACGGCATCGGACATTCGCCTCCTCCTTGTCATTGATCTGACAGTAAAGAGGATATTTAGGCAAGGTTGTCAGTTGTGGAACTTTTAAAGATCAGACATTTGTATTATTCACATTCTTTTAAAACTATTCCTCGCTAGCTGATATTCATCAATAATACCTTGTAAATTCTAGACACAGTAAATAAATAAAGAAATAAAAATAACAAATACCTGATAAAGTGTACTAGCCTACTTTTGTACAAATATACATCTAATAAAACATATATACCAATATGGTAAGACTCACCCTTTAACATGCCCAAACATAAATCAGTTCAAGTATTCCTCTACAAATACATATTAACACACCCATACCATTTGTTTACATTCCACACAGACACATTTAAAACAAACACAATCGTATTTATGCAAATATCTACTCATATATGCTTTTGTGCTTGTTCCACAGAAAAACATATTGAGAGACAGACAGTCACACACGCACTCACATGTACGCACGCATGCGCGCGCACACACACACACATACACACACAACACACACACACACACACACACACACACACACACACACACACACACACACACACACACACACACACACACACACACACACACACAAAATGAATACATCTTATATCTCTATTACCTTCACTTTCACAAGGAACTCCTTGTCCTGCAAATCAAGATCTGGGCCAGTGATCGGTTTGGCAGGAAGCGTCAGAGCTTCCTCGGGAACAATGATTCCAGCCTTGCGGAAAGCAACCCGTACATGCCAGGGTTCCACTTGCCACGGATTCTTCATGTTCATGCTCAGGGAAATCACACGGGTAGAAAGTTGTTCAGCAGTCTGTGAAATATTGAGAGTCGTGAGCTTATAAACAAAGTGAAAAGCTTTACTATGTTTACTGAGATAAAGATACTATACTGATCAAACAGATACTTATTCTCTGATCCCTAGTCAATGACAAAACTAAAACAATTTGGTATAAGCCTTCAAAACAATTTGGTATAAGCCTTCAAAGGATAACATAAGAAATATTGTTTAAATCCCTTGATTACAAGTTTCCTCCCAAAAAGGACCTTTTAAGTCCATAACAAATTCAGGTGTTGATAGCCCAATGTCCTTATGGGATAACTACTATTCTCCCTGGACCAAAACCCTACTAAGCCAGTACGTAAGCTTCAGGTGGGAGGTCATCTAGGACAACCATGAGACCAAAATGACATGTACCTGTCTAAAGTAATTAGAAAATGGGAAATTCCAGCTTAATTCTATGACATCGATAGGGGAGTCACATTGTCAAAAGGGTCAAGTTAAAGGTGCACAAAGAGCAATACTTGGCAAGATTGTCAAAAAAATAAAAAAATAAAATAAATTAAAAAAAAAAAATAAATAAATAAATAAATAAAAAATAAATGATCAATGTAATAAATATCCAAAGTAAAACATTCTCAGATGAAACAGCTTGTTTTTATTGTGCAGACATGAGAAAGAGGAAGAGAAAAAAAAAAAAAAACTTTCCATCCCTTGTGCACATAAGACTGATCCTTGCCGTCTTTTGAAGGGATAAGGGATGTTAAGTGTTTCATAATCATCTTTTTCTTTACAAAGCCATACCTTATGCTGTCATTAATTGTGACCACCTACACCCCAAATTCTCAACTAAAGTAATCCCTGGGCAAAAAAGACATAAATCATTTTCTTTTTTAAATGCTACTCAACTCACTCTCAAAGCAAAAGGAGATGAGGGCTGGTCTTTAATCTCTGATGTCTCGATGAGATTGGAGTATTTTTCCAAGTTCTCTGGCGATGCATAAACAGCAAGACCGGGTAAAAGCAGATGGTTTCTTGCTCGATGAGGTTTCACTTCTACAACATCTCCGACTGATCCTAAACCTGTTAATGAGGAGCAAAACATGTCATTTAGGTTCTTACAAATCCATGAATTAGATATAGTGCAATCCTCATATTTTAGAAACTTTAAAACACTTTTTGTTTTTAGATCTAAGATTCATTCAAGAAACTTTAGTGGTACTAATCAACAAATTACAGTACTGCAATCTATCTGCTTCTGGGTGTACTATCTTAACCATTACATAAAACCATGTAACCCTAACCATAGAAAAATAAGAAAAATAAGAAACCAATCATCATTTTCAGATACTACATGTATTTCATAATCAAGATGTATCCTATACATTCCTACTAATATATCACATAAGGCTGACTTACCTTCTACCGGTTTAGTCAATATGACCTTTACTGGATCCTTCTTCCTCACATTGGTGTCCTCCACCATTTCGTAAAGATAGTGACGTGCCCTAAAGGGGCGCATCTTTCCAGTTGTCTTATGCAGCTCAACTTTTTTCTTACGTTTAAGAACGAAAGTGGTCTGCCAAGGAGTACATGAAAACAAATTATAAACTGAAGTAACCATTTACAACCCAACCTAAGCCCCTCCCCCTCCCCCCAAAATACTGTTTATTATCCAATACTACTGCTGTTATAGCATCCATTCCCTGTATCTTTATGACTACTACTGAAGTTGTGTCAGATAATGTCCATGATGGGGTCTCTGAAATATCATATGCACACTGGACACTTAGCAAAAACATATCATAAACTATGGGTCACTGCAGTATACCTATACTACCAAATAAAACCACAGATTTTGCTGTGTTTGGTATCACAATGAATTTCAAGATAGCTAAATCTTTTAAAAGAAGTCAAATAATTACATAAATCAAAAGTCAACAAATCTGAAGTAGACAGAGTTAGACTCTGACATCACAAATGGAGATTAATCCTAAAATCAATCAATAATTCTACAGTATTCCCTGTCAGGGTGACATAACATATTACTATGTGGATATGTATTTGTATGACTGTGTGTCACAGGAATTTTGGTGTGGAGAGGGATGTCTCATCTCACAAAATAGATCGCCAGGGACTCTCACCTCAAGAGGACACACTCCCAACCTCTCCCCTTGTTCTCCCACATGCAAAGTGACTGACTAAGATTTTGCCCCATGTTCTGTCGCCCTTTGATGTGCCTTAATTTCTAGTGCATCAATAAACCCCATAGTAAAGTGAAGAGTATTTCTGTTAGCATGACAGTGAACTGAAAAGGGAAATAGGCATGCTCAATTCCATGTGCACACTTGGACCCATAGCAGCTGCTGCAGTTTAATGTATCATCTAGTGGTCACTTTAGAACAAAGTATCGAAAATCAAGGAAAAGGGTAAACAGGTGACAGGTAGTTTGCGTAATTGGCTCATTGGTGATTTAGTACTTGTAGAGCCACTTATATCTAAAAACAATTACTAAATTCAACATGCACAATGGGCAATGGCATGTATATACATGCCATGCCCAGCGGCTTGGGTTTAAGATCAGAACTTTACAACTTGCCCTGAACATGAAGCAAAGTGTAACAGGTACTATGGCAAGTTTGATACAGTAAGCACAGGGCAAGGTTATTCTGATGAGAGAACTATTTCACTGTTACACCACACTTCAAGTCAAATGCTTTCCAAAACATTCCTGTATCAATTGCTTAATTATCTGATGTTCTGTTTGATGTTATATTCACTTGATGTTCATACATCAGCTCTTTTTGCAATGAAATCTGATCATAAGACAACAATGGATTTTACACAACATATCATATCCATAACAATTCATACAATAGTCTTTACGCTACAAAGAGAAAGATCACTTTTCTTAGACAAAAAAGAAAAAATCACACTGAATTCAACTCAAATAAAACGAAATTCAGATTATGAAAAACAAAAATAAAATTCAGATTTTACCCTGGCTTGAATAAAGTACCCAGCTGGGATTACTGCTTCTAACTCTTGTACAGGCAAGGTCCTGGCTGCAACTCGTGACAAGGCGGACCCCGTGCTGTGCAAGTGCAGCTGCGCCAGACCCTGAGCTAAGGAGCGCAACATCTGAAAGATAACAGTTTCATTATTTTACAGATCATGGCAGGGCAGAATAGTATAACCTTGGCCTTCCTTTTATTATCAAAATCAGTCTATATGAGGTGGGGTTGAGTTTGGGGTTTAGTTGGATTTAGTTAATCTGACAATAAATTCCCAGTCCATATATTTTGGCAAGACAGAGCTTGTAGATCTTCCTGGCAATCTAAGGTACAGCCAGACTACCAATAAATTTCGCTGGAATCACTGCAAAATGAATCATCAGCTTTGTGCAATGGAATAGGGGCATCAAAACAAATCGTGACCGCAGAAATTCGCTATGGATCCCACAATTCTCTCGCAAACTCTTGCTATTCTTTCATGCTTTCCGAGTTCTAACCTTTTCTGGGAGGGAGTAAATTGCTTCAGAATTCCACATTTCAAATATTCACAGGATATGCAGTTTCAACTTGAAGCTGGCGGCTATAAGTTTGTTTATAAACATCTGTCAAATGAGAATCCATGGTCAAAGCTTTTGTTTTTACTTTTTACTTGTATTTTAGCTTAAATTTCAATGTAATATTGATGTATTAATAAGTATGAATAATTATGAATAATCTAAAATATATAGATATTCGTGCTTTAAAATGAAAATATATGCATGCATACTACAGTCTTAACTTGCGCAATTTTTCCATCTGTCCATCGATGGACAAATGGGTATCAACCACAATAAATGTGTGGGCGGAAGTCCAAAGGATTGAGTCCATCAATGGGCAAATTCCATTAAAAAAGGTAAGTCTGTACCTTTACTGCCAAACAAGCATCATCTTCCTAAAACATGTGTGGTGAAGATTCATTGATTTCTTTCTACTGGAGGACCAACAGGCATGGAGACTGTGGACACAGCCAAATGCTGTGCCACTTCAATTACAACTCATATAGAACCTCTATATAAACCTTAAATAAACAGGGTTTAATGGAGC